TGCTGCAGGAGAAAAAAGATTAATTTCAATGACGAAATGAATTATAAGGTACGAACATTGATAACTTTTAACAGCGTAATTTTAGTTTTAACAGATAATTTTAATTGTCGCATTGTTACTAGCAAATTATTTCACTGTACGTACTATCATGTGACGTTTTTACCGTTACGGCAAAATAATTCGCTACTACAGCAGTTCAAATTGCTTACGCTGCTAAAGTTTCAGGTGTTCATACGACTAATTAGGTGTTACACAACTAATTTGGCTACTGCGGCTGACTTTTCTTTCTCAGTTCGCATATACAGTAAAAAATTTTGCGTTAAATTTAACACAGTTCACGTGTTCCAAATGGCCCGCAAAAATTTTTGCGTTAATTTAACATAAGGTGAATACGTTGAAAAGCATCACAAGTATTGTGTCAAAAATTAACACAAAATTAATACCTATAATATATTAAACGGCTCTGGAATATAAAATGTGTTATTTTAACACTTACACATGTTTAATATCGACTCAGTACAAAATATCAAGATAATATAAACATAATATGTTAAATTAACACACACAGCTGTGTGTTAGAAATTAAATGTAAGATTTTTAATAAAGTTTTAATGCAAGTAGTGTAAAACGCTTTTTACTGTGTAATATAAATTCACGTCCGATCCGGAATGAGTGGAAGATGCTATCACGGCACGAGGCCAGGGATCGTCAGTCTATTCAAGAGCCGTGAACATCGATGGGAAGAATCAACTGTATGATATCGCGCACGTTTTTAGCTTATCTTAATTTATCCTCCTAATAGCTCTAAGCGAACTACTTGCTTCCCCGAGTCATTGCGCGTTGATCGGCTTTTCTCCTAGGCGGAGACGCAAGAAAATCCGACGATCGATCGCGGCCACATTTCTCTTTTATGAGGAAAGTAGAGATATACACGTCCACGTGATTCGCGATGTCGTGCGCGCGCGCACCTTTTTCCCCGAAATTTACGGCTGCGGTTAATTGCAACCCGGTCGGGTTTTGTTTGCCTCCGGTTTGCCGGAGGAAGCGAGGCACAATTAACTACAACGTCGTAAAGATATTTACCATACGACAACGGCTCTTGGCTAGTTCCGTTTTCTTCGTCGGCCGATCGGCGGAACTTTTAGGGGAACTTAATTGCGAGGCGCTCGCGCGCGCGCGATTCCACGGTTTCCAATTCGACGCTCTGATGATTTACGCGCGTGCCACACTGAGCGGCGTCAGTCGAAAAGTAAAAATCGCGCCTGGCTTCTTGTCCGATGTGAAAGCACATTTTTTGGCAGGCACGCCGTTGTTGCCACATTGAGATTTTCCATAGGGCACGCCGACATTGCGCATCGCACGCTGGCGGAAAGGAGGAATTTTTTCGAAAGACCAGGAAATAAATTGTTTCTTCGGCGCGATGTACTGCTCAGAACAAGTATCAATAATACAGTGGCATCGGGTGAGAAATTTTGAGTATTGAATAAGTTATATTTCAAATAGCCATACATTTAGGTATGTACAGTTGCATAATAGAATGTTTAGCGTAGAAGAAGAACGGACCGCATGACTCACGTAATATTTCGTGATTTCCCCTCGAGCAACTTGGTGTGCTAATTGGACAACTTTAAATAGAATTTTGGTCAACGAAAAGTCGTTTCGTTTGGACCTGAGAATCCGCCAGTACATTCCGCATGAAGTTATTTGGGATCCTCTTTCTTTCCAGGGGATCCCCTTTCATTCTGGGACCTCCGGTCTATCGTATCGTTTTTATTGTGCATAAAATGCATATATATATATATATATATGCATTTCACGCACAATAAAAATATATTGTAGAATGTTGGATTCAATTTTCCTTCTCACGTTTATCATAAGAATAAAATGAATTTGTGGAGTAGAGAATTGTAAGGATAAAAAGTGATCTGCTCTTTCACATAGCTTGAGTTAACGTTCTCTATTCAAATAAAAGCAACGTGTCAACACTCTGTCGAAATGTTGCGGTCTCCAACCGAGAGATTTTAGCCTTGACCAGAGTAAAGTACTTTTGAAGTCTTGCCGAGATGTATCACGTAACGAAACCGTGCGCTAATTCTTCATGTAAACGCGAAACGTATCTTCTTTCTCATCTTAACACTTTCTACGTCGCATTCTCAGCAACAATTAACGATGGCAAAAAGTATTCAGGGTTGGGAAAGTTACTTTTGAACTTGTTACCGTTGCCGTTACTCAAGAAGTAACGAATTACATTTTCCATTACTTTTCAGTAAGCTTCGAAGACATTTTCCTTTCTTATGATTCGTCTCTGCCTATTCTATATGCATGTATTCTATATATGCAAAGTAACGATAAAAATATCCACTATATCCGTTATTTTTACACCGAAAAATGCCGTTGCATTACCGTTATTATTAATCATAAGAAAGATCGTTCGTCGATCAACGTCATCGATAAGTAGTTACTGGAAAATAGTAAGTAAAGAAAACTTGTAACACTGATGGTACTATAAATAACGCTTTACTTCTCAATCCCGATAAATTACTTCATTCTCTCATTATCGGTGTTTAACGAGGTGAACAGAAATGTTATTAAAAGTTAACGAGCTTGAAGAGCTCGCACAGTAAAATGATTGTAGTTTTAATTCTTTACGTTCCATTTCTTTCGTGCCGGACTAACATTAACATTCTTGCAACGATCCAAAAATCTCCGAATCACAGTGTAACATTTTTCATATTTCTTCAATATATATTGATTACGAACTTTAATATTTAATTATTATTAATTATTATGTGATATCTGTTGATATCTCTCGAGATTCTCACGATGTGGAGTAACATTTGTTTTAGTAATAGCTTCCGGATTGCAGCCGCGTTTCTATCCAATCGTTTCCGCATTTCGTGAATACTTCAGTTCATTTTATCGGGAAAAGCAATTTGATATTGAATATTGTCGCTTCTCGGCAGGCCTTTTCTTGAATATTTACTACTAGTTTTTCGTCGTACTAATAATAATTAGTTTCTGCCATTGAATTGATTTGATGAATCGTAGCATACGGGGCACTTCTACTGCGGAATAATTATAGCGACGTAATTACGCGATTTCGACTCAAGTGATATCGATACTGTAATATTTTGCATGCCAAACACTTCGGTAGACTTTGCTCTCCAATTTCTCTTCGTATGAGAGATTTCTCTTCAGTTAAACATTAAACAATAATAATAATGATAATGGTAAACAATAATAAAGAAAGAATACGAATGTAAGTTCTTTAATGTTTGTATGTGTGTGTGTATGACTCGAAATTATTCAGGCACGAAGGTCTGAATTTTCAGCGGAGTTACTTTTCTACGATATTGAATTAATGATATCGATAGCTTCAAGGCATTACCGCCGTGACAATGTTTCTTTTCCTGATTAATATGTACAATATCCAGTTGCTAGTTTAATTGCTACTCCTCACGTGTCAACAAATCAAATTCGTGGTATCGCGACAGATGTGATATTTTAATTAAGAAAAAAATAGCCACGATGATACGGCGTTTTGATCGGATAAGGATCTGATCGTTATTGTGTGGAAAATACCTCGGGTAGTTCCCGGTCCATCGATGATTAAACATCGACCAGACGACTATCGACTATCGAGAGCGTAGAGTAAATAAAGCAATTACATTCCAGCGCGTCATGTTACCATATATCGTATAATTGACGTTAATACAATTTAATTTGTACACTAGTGAATTAATTATTTTCTTCGTGAGCGTTGTTTACTACGTAACTTGTGCGCACATTTATGATTATAAAATTGACGCGCCTTTCTGTTCCGTGCTGTACACACACACATACACACACTTTTTCCCGCGGGTCTAATCGAACCGGACGTCGATAATGACCGATCTACGCCGAATTTACCTGCGGCCCTCGCCGTTCATTCTTACCCACACGCGCCCGCGTACGTGTGGATCGGACATTCTACTGCGGAGAAGAGAACTATTTTGGATATCGCGAAATAATGGCGCGCTATTAAGAAACTGGCTCGAAAACGATCCAACGACCTTGTGCCGAATATTACGGCGCGTGTTAAGACGATTGTGTAAGGCATTTCACGTGTGCCCGTGGACACATCTCGTGGGGGGGTTACACGTCGAAGCGGATAGTTGTCCGGTGCGAGAGCGAACGTAAGGGACGCACGTCGTGGACTTTGCCACCGAGAGGAGATCTTGTCGCGAGGATGAGCGAAAGATTTCCATAGTGCGCCGCCTGTCCGCCCATCCGCTCGCTGTTACGCGCCAAATCCGCATGTTGACATTTACTTGACTCGAGCAAAATTCCCGCTCGGACATGGCCTGCGAACGAATCTTTCCGTTCGTTGAGTCAGAGCTTTTCTTCATTCTCGTTTCAGACAATCAAACTTGGCTTTTCACAACCGAAACGGTTTGTTTGCCCATATCCGAGCAGGAATTCAGGTCAATGAAATGGCGTCTTCAGTGCGTAATGCTGTCCCATTCCTTAGGCATAGTGACATAAAAAATCTCGAACTGGGCGCATCATTAGCCGATGACCGAGTATTCGTGCCTCACGACCGACACTTCGGGAATGTCCTTGCCGGTTCACTGAACAATTAGCGGTAACAATGCACGAATATTCAGAAGCGGTACACTTAATTCGAAATTCCCGATGTCACTTATGGGGATGGGACAGGCGTTAATGCACGGCACTGTACACGCCACTGGTGACGGCGATTTCGACATTTCTCGAATTAATCCGCAGCTTTTCTAACGACTGAACCGCTAATGGCTTTCCACTTCTGTTACTCGGCGCGACGTCTCGATTGTGATGACGCACCCCAAATCGCGAAATTTCACAGGACGAGCGATCCGTATTTAGAAATGCGATATAAATGATCGCCCACTCGCCGTGCGTTCCTCACGCGCGTCCTCCGAAAAGAGGAGAAGAAACGCGCGAAAACGGCGGGGAGTCGCATCGAACGGGATATCACATACCGCACGACGAGTAGAAGATTCGAGATGGGGTCAAGCTCGACCCGGCATCGAAGTCACCTGCGGAGGTCCTAGTTGCCGCGTTCGCCCCGCAGAAATCGAGACACGAGACACACCTCACGCGAGACGCGACATCCTTCCTTCTGATCTCGAGGGGAGTCGCGAGGAGGAAAGGTTCGTGGCATTAAACGCTTGAGTTACGCTCTTGACATTAAGCGTGCCGAGAAATGCGCGCGGAATTTTCACGCTGCGCAAATGCCCGCGCGTTGCGCGTCAACACGTCCGTGTAAGGAAACTGGCCGATTTCTCGCGGCGGAAATTCGCTCGGAGAGCTCGTCCTTGATCTCGCGATCGTTCTCGCGCACTCCGCTCGTGCGCACCGGCACGAAGATCCCGAATTTCCCGGCGACCATGCGGTAAACGCCGCTCTTACCTTTTCCCGCTTTTCTGCCCTCGGAGATCGGTCTGCCGTCGACGAGGAAATCGGCCGGCACACTGTGCACTTCACACTCCTGCTCTTCGGAACCGTCTCCGTCACCGGTGCGATCTCTTTCTCTTTTTCTCTCTCTCTCTTTCTCTCTCTCTCTCTCTCTCTCTTCCCGTATACGTTATGGTGAGCGTTGCCGCTTCAAACCGAGCTACCCATCGAACGGAGCATCCGCGACTCGCTCATTCGACTTTCGCACACTGCTGCCTCCGCGTATCCCGCCGGTACCGGATACCGGATCGCGAATCTCCCTTCCGGCAGGTCGCTCTCGCACCTCTCGCGTCCACCGTACGACCTCTCCGCTGGTCCCCCGGGGAGGAGGCGGCTACAGCATAGATGGTATCCCGGTGGACGCGCTCTCCCGTGTACTCGCTGGTACTCCCGTGGTACTCGAAAGGGCGCGCGTACTCGACGCGTACACGTTACGTGCGTACACGGTGCTTGCGGTTTGGGCACGTTATGGATCCAACGGCCGATGCTGCGAGAATAGTCCACGGCGCGGTGTGCTCGCGACTTAAGTATTCGTTAACCAAGTGGGGTTCAAGCAACGTTAGAGCGCGCAAGGAGGGGCTGCACAGGGGGCCTCCAGGTGATCGTCTGCGAACTCCACGCCACGCTGAGTCAAGGTCGCTTCTCTCGGATCGTTCGCCCGTCTTAAGTAGGGGAAAGGTGTCTTCTCGACGACCGGCTTCTCGATAGCGGGCGTGGCACCCTTCGGTCAAGGTCAGAGGCTCCGAGCCGACCACCGTTGCCTCTTCATCGTTTGTCCTCATCTTCGCCACGACAGATCGTATTATTTCCTTTTTCCCTTCCTTTCCTCTCTCTCTCTCTCTCTCTTTCTTTGAAATTGCGTCGAACGCCTGTCGACCGTGTCTTTCACCCGGCGCGCGTGTGTTCGCTCACATGAATTCCAACTGATCGAGTTCGGCCGATCAGCACCGTCGCTTCTCTCGACGGGTATCCCGCGAGCGACCTTGAGCGACCTCTCGCTCTCGAGGACTCGACGACGCGACCTTGATGAATGCCTCATGAATTCGGTGTTATTGCGTTCATCGCCGTTTATGTGTGATGCTGCGGCGCTGATGTGCGGGAGAATCTGCGGAAAGTACACGTGCAAACGCTTCTTGTGAAATTCGAAGGCGGCCGTTTTATCAGGCGAAATGTCAAGGCGCGCTGATGGGTTTTCAGTTACGAACGATGGAAGATGGAAGATGATGATGATAAACGATGTACGATTTGAACGATGCACGGTATACGAATTGTCGAAAACGCGTGTTGCGTATCGGAGTATTATCGTACTCGTCGGCTTCACTTTGAGTGGACATTACGCTTCGGCGGATCTTCACACGCTACAAACAGCGCATTTTTGTTGAATAATATAGCGTACACCGAGAGAACAAATGGCTAGAAAAATAAGAAATATTTATCCAATGGCTACTAATAGCAGATTTTCACTTATACTACACAACAAAAAGTCTTGTGTCCAAATGGCAAAGTTTTCTTGCGTGCGATGTAACAAACTTTAGATTATCACTTCAATATAAAATTAGCATACAGCTGATGTACAGCATGTGTTACCATTTTCGTGATGTTTTCATATGTTTTATTTACGTCAGCTTAGTAACATTGTTTGTGCATAATTTAAAAATGAAATATTATTTCGAGTTAACACAATTGCTTAGTTAATTCAATATATCGTGTTTATTATCTGAATATTTTACGTCAAGTCGATGTTAGACTTGTGTAAGTGTAGGATAACACACTTTATACTTCAGTGCTGATTAACAAAAATGCGAATCATACTGAATATTATTACTTCTTTTTTATACGTTAAAACTTACAAGCAAATTATGTTAATCTTATCCGCAATAATAATTATCATTTTAAATCTTAATGAATACGGAACACACGCACAATTAAAGCATAATCGTGTAAATACGCAAGATACGTGATTCAAGATCCAAAGTTCCCGAATTCCAGTCCCATCAGTGGTAAGCACATTTCTTAAATACGATTAATTGAATCAATTAAATGGCACATAATTATAAACTTGCATTAGTTTGAAGAGGTGTTTGAAGAGGTTCGTTAAAGAGAAATATCGTGCGCCGAAGTATTAAGAATTGTAATAAATATCGCTCATTTCCGATATTTCCGTTTAAGACATTCGAGCTTCACAAGAAACAACGTACGTCTATATTCTATCAGTTTTTGCACACCTATTTTTTTACTATCGTCACGACGGTTACGAACATATTTATGCGTTTAAGCTAACAAGCTAACATTACGACGGGGAGTTCTGGTATAACTGGTATGTAGATAAACGAGACATTATAAAGAATATAATATAAGAGTAACGTCTACAGTGAACAATACTGAAGGTACGCAGTAAAATTCTTATTTCCTGCTACGACAAAGCCAGGCAGACGATGGCCAGGCAGACTATAGGCAAAAAATACGAATTAAGAACAGAATATATATGTTTACACACGATGCGAACGAATTCGGCAATATCAACGTATAACATCAATAATGACGTCAAGGCTTTTCTTTTTTCTCTTTTTAATATTTTATTTAATCGTACGCCGATATAAGAAACTCCATGCCGAGGGTTACACGGCTCTCAAGTTTTTCAACGATCGCATCTTTTCTTTTTATCTATTTATGAGAATCACTGTTCTTGCGACACTTTATTTGCATACACGCTCGTTTTCTCCTAGTCTAATTATCTTCGAGAGATAAGTCGACATATCGATATTTACGAGAAACAATCTTGACGTAATCAATTCGACGCGCAATTCTTTATAATTAAAAACACTGTCGAGTAAAACAGGTTTTACTAATAAGTATAGAAAAAGTGTATATATCTTATCCTATTATATCGTTATTTTCCGCCTCAGGACAGTTAATTATTCGACGAACTAGAATGAAAAAACGACACGTGTCATTTTTGCAAACGACAATTAGAATCGGTGAGTGCGTGACAAAATATCGACGTTCAAGTTAAGAAAAGATAATTCGAAAGAAGAAAGCCCCGATATATAAAGCAGAGACGCAAGGGAGAGCTTGATGATTTCGAGTTTAGAGCATAAATGCCTGAAGGAAAGCGTAGATTGCCTGTAGCAATTATCGGGGATATCCCGGTAAAGTCCCGATCGGCAATCGATAAGACTTTTTTAATGTGCGCGACGCGGACTGCCAAAGGCATGCATAATAAAATATGAAAAAGAAATATGCAAAACGTCAAAAAGTAAGAAGATATACTTCGAAGTCGAAGCCGTATATTTATTTTTTCCCCGAGGGGTTATTATTTATGTGTAGGCTATTTCAGATACTGAGCTCAATAGCCGAACAGCACAGATAAAACCTCGATTCGTATGAAACTGAATAGGGACCAGACACAAAATCGGTGACGAGAAATGATGTCTCTGTTACCTCTGCTATCGGAAATATTTGTCTGAATATTTGGCTGTATTAAAACTTGGTTTTAATCCTTGGTTTTAATCAGGAGTCTTTCCGCTCCTATAATCGGGTTTTCCGTCTGGTCCTTATTCTTTCCACTCAGCGAAAAATGTAGTTACACTGATGAAATTGTCTTCTCGACGCAATAAGCCTTGGATTTTATTTCGTTGTGACCTTCGGTAAAGGGAATTAGTAATAGTATAAAAATAGTAATAGTTAATTTGTGACACTTGAGAACTTAATTTAACTTGATTACACCTATTTTCTTTAATAGGTCAGATAATATATCTTCATATTTTTCTGTAAAAATGTAATTTGGCCTTAAATTTTATATATTAACCTTTTGCACTCGAGGGCTCCGGAGCGGAGCTATTTAAAATTTGTCTTCAAACTCGAGGGCTCCGCTATGGAGACAATGCAAATAGCAAGAGCGGAATATCCTATACACAATGGTTTTTACGATTTTATCTTTGTCCTTATGTTATGAACTGAAAGTTATTTGCATTGTCTCCATAGCGGAGCCCTCGAGTTTGAAGACAAATTTTAAATGGCTCCGCTCTGGAACCCTCGAGTGCAAAGGGTTAAAAATTATTGCACACTGAAGAGAGAATCCAAGGTACGATAATTATCCGTTATAACAAATGTTAGATAAAATACTAAAATATTAAAATATAAGTATAATATAATATAATTATTGCTACTCTTACAGAAATTTAATATTGAGAATTACTAGGAAATTTGCAGTAATTAAATATTGGCAGTATTTCAGTAATTATTTGACTAATATTTAATCTTTGGTGAATATATTTCAAATTAAATACAAAATATTTTATGTATTTTTTTACTGATATTAATAATAAAATAAAAGCAATAAAAAAGGAAAATGAAAGTAAACATAAACTCAGAGCAGTATTGAACTTGAGTCAACTAGTTAACAATCAAGCATCCTAGATCTCCCACTACCGGAACACCTGCGTGGGTACATACTCACTATCTAAACTACTTCCACTGCTTTCTTAATATTTATTCATTGCAAATTCAATAATCCTCAGTATTTTATAAATTTCGATAAGGGGATATTTCATCACTACTGCGCTATTAAGCATTAGTATTTAAATATTCATATTA